AATAACTCTCCAAGATCATCTATGGTTAGGGAGAATCGAAGGAATGAAAATGGCAATTTCTCACTTTTGACCAAGGCATTTTGCACCATGTTACAACTTGCAAATCTGTCCTAAGCATGCTTGTACTTGGTTTACAGGTTCTAATCTCTTATACACTCAAAAATTGAATGCATATATAATGGTTAATGGCATTGTTTTTGTCTTTGAAGCTTTGTACAAAGGTTTAATCCAAAAATGGCATAAAGGTAACATTGCCACTTTGATAAAGCATGCTTTATGTTAAATTGTTTATCTTGAGCATTGGACCAAAGCTTTTGCTGCAAACCAACTCCACAAATATCAGGAAATATGTACCAACTATATGCAGATCTTGAGCTAGCTTGTACAACCTTGGCATTGTCAACTTCAACTTTTGCTTCAAAAACAAAAAACCTTGCAAAAGGTCCATAACTCTAGTATATGTTAAAACCAAGATTGGGGACCATTTGAAACGACTTCAGCATATCACATCAAGCCAAAAGAATGATCTCCAAGCCTCTCAAACACCCTTAAACACAAAAACACCAAGTTCTTATCAAAATAGGGCCATACCTGCAGAACCTTGGCCAAATCCAGATCCACTCGTGCGTTTTGCTTGGAATCATTTCAAACATATTCTAAACATCACACCTAAACTATCCAAGCATCTGTCCAGCCACTGTAACTCCATTTTCATCCTTCACCATTTTCACTTTAAAGCTTTGCAGGTTGAGTTCTACAAGCACATTCAGGCAAGTTCAAGGTAAGCCAAGCATTGGGAAAGGTTGAGTGAACTTCAGGCAAGCTAATACGACCTTCAGGCCTCATCCAAAACTCCTACATTGCCATATCCAAACTTGGCTGAAACAGGTATTTCTCAAGATTCTAACTCCTTATTTAGTCATCATTAAGCTTAGGTTTGTGAAGCAAAAATGTAGTCTCTTAGTTGCTTGAGTCGTACATATGCATAGCTTGTATTTATATTAATTGAGCTAGGAGAATTTAGATGATGAACATGCTGAAATTTTTAGGTCAGAAATTGGGGGTGGTAAAATTCTCCCTGGTTTCTTAGAGTTAGATCAAGTTTTTTATATGGTTAGAATCGTGGTTTAAAGCTTTATAAGTTTCATGTTGTGAGTTTTTGATTTCATGCAAAGAACAGAGAGAATAGTATTCAAGCATAGAACTATGGTGCGCGCGCGTTCTGAGGATAGGGACGAAGTGTGTTTGGGCCAGGCGGCGTGGGCCTCTTACTTTTGACACCCCCATGCTTGCTTTCTGCACCCCTTGGCCCATTTGTTTTATTTTTGTATATTTTTTATTTCTTTTATATTTTCTGACTTTATTTATTTTTTCTAAATATTAAAAATCACCAAAAATATTTTCTTAATTTTTGCATTTTTATTTTATTTTTTTTATTTTATTTTATGACAAAAAATAGTTTATTAGGTTAAATACTTTTATTTTCTTAAATAAATTTGTAAATAATATTAAAATACTTACATATTTTTATTTTATTATGTTATACACTTAAAATATTATTTTCTCACACATTTTATTTTTTAACATCTTTGTATATATTTTTTATTTATTATCTTGTACATAAAAATGAATAAATAAATAATATAATATATTTTCTTTTAAAACCAAAAACTAGGGTTTCCATCCTTTCCAAAAATAATCATTAATATTTTTTTATTTTGAGACATAAATAATTTATTTTACATACATAAAATAATTACAAAAAAAAACATTTGTGCATATTATATTTATTTGCATATTTAAATATTTGCTATTTATTTATTTTGTATAATAAATTCAATATGATTGTAATAGTTTTAGGGTTTTTATTTTGAGCAATATCCCCTTATTTCAAACTTGTATCCCCCTCCCCATAATAATGTTGTAATAGTCTTAGATTTACTTTTACGCATTTTATCGCTTTCAAATGCCATGATAGTAAGATTAGGGTTTGTATGCAAAGAACCAAAATCAAATAAATAGCATGACTAAACACAAAACAAAAATGCATGAAAAATGACAACACGATGCACACAAGCACCCCTAGGGTTTCATCCAATTGTTGTCTAAAAAATGGCCATGGTATGCATGCTAGGTATCTTGGCAAAATCAATCGAAACAAAAAGATCATAGTCCCTCGATGACGCTATCTTGGTTGCCTATACAAAAATAATCTAGTCCCTCAAAAGCTTTCTAAGATACTTGGAAACATTGTTATCATGGTCATACGATGACCCACGCCCGTCCCGTTTAACATCCAAAGATAGGGTTGTTTACCAAATACAATGGTAAAACAGCAATGTCAAAGGGTTAAAAATGTGTAGGAAAGATCTTTGAGTAGGGTAGACAACTCCTAGTTACTTGATCAAACTTGCAAACCATCCTTGCTATTTTCAAAAACACACAATACAATTTCAAATCATTTTCCAAACAAACTTTCAAACATTGAAAAAAATTTCAAAAGACAAACACCTTTGTATACATTCAAACAAGAATCATTACAAAGGTTGCCTAAACAAAGGCCTTTTTTCAAAATACTTTCAAAACCACACACAAAAGCATCATTTCAAACAATTGAAAAGAAAAAGCAAGTGATCTAAAACAAGTAACTAAGAGCCAATAGAAAACCATGGATGAAAAGGATGCTAGCACCTTCCCTTTTTATAATCTATCCTCCGAACCCAAAAACAATCTCAAAGGTCTTTCCTGTGCTTTTTTACCTTTCCTTTTGGATAAAATAAAAGTCGGTGGCGACTCTTGCTAAACCGAAACATTTGCGAACACAAACGCAAAACCTCAAGTCAATTCTCCCACCGTATCACACTTCCCAATTAGACATCCTTCACAAAGTTGGTCTGGGTGGTTGATCCTAGGTAAGCCTCTCACCATCTCTTTCTTCGACAAACGTTCTAAACCATCGAAGTTGAGGTGCCCGAATCGTAGATGCCATAGCCATGAAAAATCGGTATAACAAGCCTTGAGACACTTTGCTACGTCATTTTGAATGTTCAAGAGGAACATTCTATTTTTTGACATAGACACCTTAGCAATCAAGTTATGACTACAATCTCCTAAGAAAAGACTATGTTCATTTACGTGGATGTCATAGCCTTTCTCTAATAATTGTCTCAAACTCAAAATATTATTCTTCATATTAGGCACATAATAGACATTGGATATGAATTGATGACTCCCATTCTTCAAGCATATGAGAATTTTACCTTTGCCTTTGACTGGTATCTTTGAGTCATCTCCAAATGATACATCACCAGTTGTTGCTTCATTAATCTCTACGAACATGCATCGATCACCACACATATGGTTACTTGCGCTAGTGTCCAAGTACCACTTATTTCTTTTCTCTTCAACTTCATTTTGACACGCGAGTATCAAAGTTTCTTCTTCTCCACCTTTTTCTTTTACAAAATTAGCTTTCTCTTCCACCTTCTTCGAGAATCTACACTCGGTTGCGTAATGACCAATCTTGTTGCAGTTGAAACATTTGACTTGTGATTTATTGCTCCTCGACCATGAGGTTCCTCTTCCACGACCTCTTGTTGCTTGTGAATTCCAACTTCTTTCTCCATTGTTGAAGTTGTTGGAGTAGTTATTGCAACCGCCTCTTCCTTCTCCTCCATGTCCTCGTCCATGCCCACAATATTGGCCACGACCTCGTCATCTTTGGCTCTTGTAATTCACATAGTTTTCTTCCTTTATCTTGAGTTGTAGTAATTACTCCATAACCTCCTTTTGTTTAATTTTTCTATTTTGTTTTTCTTCGTATGCTTGCAAAGAACCCATGAGTTTCTTAATAGTCATGGTCTTTAGATCCTTATTTTCTTCAATATTGGTAATAATAAAGTCAAAACTTGGATTTAAAGTGCGAAGTATTTTCTCCATGACTTTCACATCATCAACATCTTCACCATTTCTCTTAAGTTGATTGACTACAATCAATACTCGAGAAAAAAATATGAAATTGACTCGGACTCCTCCATAAATAAACGTTTAAAGTCACCTCTAAGAGTTTGAAGACGAATCTTTTTTACCTGCTTAACTCCTTTGTTGCAAGTTTGAAGCTTGTCCCATGCTTCTTTGGTCGTTGTTGCATTGTATATCTTCTCAAACGTATCTTCATCCACCGATTGATAAATGAAAAAGAGAGCTTTCTTGTCTCTCTTTCTTGACTCCTTCAATGTCTCTCTTACACCTTGGCTTAGCGAGGATTCATCTTGATCCTTGAAGCGTTTCTCAATAATATCCCACACATCTTGAACTCCTAGTAGCGTCTTCATCTTGATACTTCAATTATCATAATTATTCTTTGTGAGCATCCACATTTGAAAAGGGAAACCACCATTCTCCATTTTGTGAATCTTGAAGCTTTGATACCAATTTATTGAAAATAAGACATTTTATGTTAAAGAGAATTGTGTGAAAATATTAAAGGTTTGAATATAAATTTGATAAGTAGAATAATTTTTTATGGAGAAGAAGAACTTTGTATTTTTACTTGATACAAATGTGTGGGATTACATCTCTATTTATAGTACTCTAAAGAGAACTCTAGACACACTAATTCTAGAGAGTTCTCAACTCTAGAGATCCAAAGACTATTCTAGAAAATATTACAATTATAAGAAATATCTAAAGATTCCAAATATTACAAGAATTCTCTAGAAAATTACTTAAACCCAAAATAAATAAGTCCAAAAACCAATTAATAAATTTAGCCCAAATCAAATTTAATATTTTAAAAAAGAATTCCTTTTCATAGTTGAGTGGGGTCTTCATCATTATTTTATGTGGCTGCCCCTCCTCCTCAGGAATCTGGCTAAGGAGTATGTATCTATGTCGTCATTTCTCTCGGATCCTTTCTTCGCTTAGCGGTTTATGCGAGGTTGCCTCCAACATGGTGTTGTTCTTTGGAATGACATTTTGCAGACTCTTCTCAATCCTGGCTAGTCTTTCTGCAAAAGCCTGGGAATTTTGTTGGACCATCTGTACAATTATATTTAACAACTCATTAGCTCCTTATTGGCCAAAATTAGTATGCAGGAGCAGGAAATCCAAGAGTATTTCACATCTCGATCATAGTAAGTGGAAACGTAAGTCTGAAAGAAGGCTCACCTAAATAACTCACAATATAACATGCCTAAACATGGGCCCTTGCAGTGGCTAGAACATTATATAACTCACAATAATTAGTTTTTAAAACATAATTCTGAAAACGGAACATTCTGAACAAGAGTTGAGTCAGAAAATTTTGGTTTTTTCTTCTTTTCTTCAATCACTCGTGAGCCTTTTGAAGCATTTATTTTAGAAAAAAATAGTCTCTGATTTAGTTTCATTTCTAATCCCACTCAATCCATATTAACATCTCTATAAACATTTCTTTAATAACAGCCAAATGCTAATTCTCATGAACATTAGTAGGAGAGAACTGGATCCACCATAACGTATGCAAAATTAAAAAAAGGAAATACAACATCTCAACAGTATGATACTAACTGGTATATTTACATAGATAAATATATATTGTTACTGGATATAAGATTGGCCAGTGATATCTATATCACGATCCCCAGATGAAGGAGGAGGGTTGTGTTTAGGCTTCATAGTGTTCTTATCAACCGGTCCATCAGCACTTTGGGTATCACTTGCCGGCGGTTTTGTTTGTTTTTCTTGTTCTTGATCTTTTTCTGTAGCGTACATTCCACCACCATAGGCACCTTGTGTCACTGGCTCCATTCTTGATATTTGAGGTCCTTCTCCCAGTTTTTTCTCTTCCTTAACCTGTTTTTCCATTTCTGATGATGACTGTTTCAATGCCATCACCCCTTACTCCGCGTGTATTATGTAGATTTTCATTTGGCCTTGAAAATTGGACGAGTGTGTTTTTGCATTTACGTGGAAACATAACTCCATGCCACGCAACCAATGTTCACTTTGACCGATCCATATCCATTCTTCTACTGTTTTCTTTATAAATTTTTTTAAATAAAGAATTATCAAAAATGTTCTTGGAACACATTAAAAGTTTGTTTTGTTTTTTTTTTTAAAATGACTTTCTTTGTTTTTGGAGCACATGTTAGAAGTTTGTTTTGTTTTTTTTTTAAATATAAACTTTCTTTCAAAACTACATTAGTAGAGTTGTCAAGGATGTGGAAGAAAATCTCCTTTGGTGTTTCTCCGGAGTTTTTTGTTTTTTGTTATGGTTTTCTTGACGAACAAAACAAGAGACATATGTGGGTGTGTTAGTCTAGATAGTATAGTTTATTTATACTTCTTTGTTTTTTGTACATGTATTCAATACACTTGCCACATCAGCTTTATACATAGTATAGGCTAGTGTATACATATATATATATATACACTCTTGTAAATGCCTTAAACAATCAATGAAGAAAGATTTGTTTTTGCTTAACAACTTTCTGTTAGCTCTTCTTCTTGCTGCAACATTCTGTTATCTCTTTCTTCTTGCTGCAGTTTTACCTTCATTCAACATGAAGTTTCATGGTGAGTTCACCACCATTAACATGGTATCAGAGCCTCAATAGCTCTGGTAGCCATTGTTCTTGATTGCCTCTTCGTTTTCCTTTCTTGGTGTTTTTCCTTTTCTGATTTCACCAATTGTTATCTTCTTCTTCGCAATCAATTCTTTTGTTTTCTGTTTCGTATACTCCATTGATGGCTTCCCAGAGCTTCACAGATTTCTCCACCAATTCTTCGAATCCCTATTATTTGCATCCGAATGAAAATCCTTCCTTAGTTATTGTTTTGCCCCTTCTTGACGATAAAAACTATCACATTTGGGCTAGGTCAATGCAAATTGCATTGATTTCAAAGAACAAGGAACGATTCATTGATGGCTCGCTTTCAAAACCTCCGATTTCAGATGTTCTTTACGCTCCATGGATCCGTTGCAATACTATGGTTTTGGCTTGGCTTCATCGTTCGATTTCAGAGTCCATTGCAAAATCAATTTTATGGATCGATACTGCTGTTGGTGTTTGGCGAAATCTGCAAATCTGTTTCTCACAGGGAGACATTTTCCGCATCTCCGATATTCAAGAAGAGCTATACAAATTCAGGCAAGGTAGTCTTGATGTTTCGAATTACTTCACACAAATGAAAGTCATGTGGGATGAGCTTGAATCGTATCGTCCGATTACTGTATGTTCTTGTGCAATTCCTTGTTCCTGTGGAGCTCTTGCTTCCATTAGGAAATACAGAGAACAAGACTATGTCATAAGGTTCCTCAAAGGATTGAATGAGAAGTTTACTCAATCCAAAACTCAGATTATGCTCATGAATCCATTACCAGATATTGATAAAACCTTCTCTCTAGTTATTCAACAAGAAAGAGAGCTTAATAGCTCTCAATCAGTGGTTTCAAATAGCACTACTGAAGAGTCAACAGCTTTACACTTGAACACCAATTCTGGCAACAATCATCAGAAGTTTGGTAATAGTTCATACAAGGGAAAAGGTAATAGATATGGAGGAGCAAAAGGTCCTAATCGAATTTGCACTCATTGTGGAAGAACAAATCATACAGTAGAGACATGCTTCACTAAGCATGGATATCCACCTGGATTTAGAGGTAAAGGTAAATCCACAAATTCTAATTCCCACTCTCAATCTGTTTCTTCTGTTGAATCAGGTCAAGCATCTCCAAAGCAGGTTTCAACACATCCCATCAGTGGCTTCACTCAAGAGCAATATCAAAGCATCTTGGACTTAATTCAACAGTCAAAGACCAACCCTACAACCAATTCTATCTCAACATCTCCATTTGTCCTGAATTCTCACTCAAGTCATGATCCAGGTAAGAATTCCCATCTATGGATTCTTGACACAGGTGCCACTGATCATATAGCTTTTGATTTATCTTGTTTTAGCTCATATAAAACTATAGTTCCTATTCATGTTAGTTTACCAAATAGTTCTATTGTCACTGCCTCTATTTCTGGAAGTATTGTCCTCTCTCCTACCTTGATCCTTCACAATGTTTTACATATCCCTAGTTTTCATGTCAATTTACTCTCCATTGCCAAACTCGTTCAGAACAGTGATTGTGTTGTTAACTTCACTGATAATTCATGCCACATTCTGCAGAATCATTCCAAGGAAATGATTGGTACAACTAAACTTCAAAGAGGTCTCTATGTGCTTGATTCTTCTCAACATGACCATGCTTGTAATTCTTCCATAATAGATAATTCATATCTTTGGCATTTAAGACTAGGACACATTTCTGCTATAGGTTTGCAAAATGTATCAAAAATATTTCCCTTTATTCCTTCAAAATGTAATACTCAATTTCCTTGTGATCCTTGCCATTTTAGTAAACAAAAGAGATTATCTTTTCCTCATAGCACTACTTTATCTAAGGCCCCTTTTGAATTGTTACATGCTGACTTATGGGGACCATTCTCTACCATTTCAATGCTAGGACATAGATATTTCATTACTCTTGTTGATGACTATAGTCGATATACTTGGGTAATTTTTATCAAAACCAAAGACCAAACAAAAAACAGTATTATTCAATTTCTAGCTTTCATTGAAAATCAGTTCCATACAACTTTAAAGCAGTTCAGATCAGATAATGGCACTGAGTTCAATGCCTTATCTGAAGTTTTCTTATCTAAAGGTATTATTCACCAAAAATCATGTCCTTACACACCCCAACAAAATGGAGTGGTGGAAAGAAAACACCAACATATCTTAAATGTAGCTAGATCACTTTATTTTCATTCCAAAATTCCCATTAATATGTGGAGTTTTTGTGTCCAACATGCCATTCACATTATAAACAGATTACCCACCCCTCTTTTAAATCTCAAATGTCCATATGAAATCTTGCATGGTCAGCCTCCTTCTCTAATTCACTTTAAAGTGTTTGGTTGTTTAAGCTATGTTGTTTCCAATCAAATTCATAAAGCCAAGTTTGATCAAAGGGCAAGGAAAACTGTTTTCTTAGGATTCAAGGATGGAACCAAAGGTTACATTCTGTATGATTTACAAACTCATAATCTTTTTGTGTCTAGGCATGTGACATTTTATGAAAATATGTTTCCTTTTGCTGTCACACATCCAAATCATACTCAGTCTTCACATCCTAGTCATCCTACTCAAACTATACCACACAATTATGCTGATGTTGACTTGTCACACCAGCCTCCTATTTCTACTGAACCACAGTCTAATTCTCCTAGACTTGACAGCTATACTTCACAGCAGAGCAGTCCTTATGACCAACCTTTATCTGTAGATACTCAATCTACTCCTTTATCCAATGAATCTATTGATTATACACCAGTTCTTAATCCTAGCCCCCACACCCTTCCTTTTAATACACATAACAATTCTGAAAATCCTACCAACATATCTCAACCTAATCTTAGGCAATCTAATCGTGTTTCACATCCTCCAAGGTATTTAGAGGATTACCATTGTTACAACACTACTGATAATCCTTCTACTTCATTTTCCAATTCTACTAAGTCTATCATTCATTATCCTTTTTCTTCAGTCATATCATATGAGCAATGCTCTCCCTCATATAAATATTTTTGTTGTGCTATTTCATCCATTTCTGAACCCACCACATATAAACAAGACATTAAACATGACTGTTGGGTTAAGACCATGGATGTGGAGCTTAAAGCTCTTGCAGAGAACCATACATGGGTTGTGGTGGATCTTCCTTCTGGTAAGGTGCCTATTGGTTGTCGTTGGGTGTATAAAGTTAAACATAAAGCAGATGGATCCATTGAAAGATACAAGGCCAGGTTAGTAGCCAAAGGCTACACTCAAATGGAAGGTATCGATTATTTTGATACATTCTCACCTGTAGCCAAGCTTATCACTGTTAGAGTTCTTCTTTCTCTTGCAGCTATCAAAGGGTGGTTTCTTGAACAATTAGATGTTAATAATGCTTTTCATCATGGAGATTTGCATGAAGAAGTTTATATGAATCTTCCCCCTGGCTTGTCTGGTTATGATTCATCTAAAGTTTGCAAGTTACAAAAATCATTGTATGGCTTAAAACAAGCCAGTAGACAATGGTATTCCAAATTATCTGCTTTTCTCATCTCTCTTGGATATACTCAGTCACAGGCTGATTATTCTCTATATGTCAAAAATGATGCACCCCATTTTACTGCCCTACTGGTCTATGTTGATGATGTTGTTTTAGCAGGGAACTCTTTAGCTGAGATCAAACTTGTTAAGCGTTTGCTACATGACAAGTTCAAAATTAAAGACCTAGGCCAGCTTAGATATTTTTTGGGATTTGAGATTGCCAGATCTAAAGAAGGCATATTTTTGAATTAGAGGAAGTATACTCTTGAGTTATTGCAAGATGCTGGAGTTCTTGCAGCAAAACCTTCTTTGGTTCCTTTTGATCCTAATGTCAAGCTATCTGTCAATGAAGGAGATGACATAGAAGATCCTTCAACTTATAGAAGGTTGATTGGAAGACTCATTTACCTCACTAATTCAAGGCCAGACATCTCATACTCTGTTCAACATCTCAGTTAATATATGTCTCATCCTAAAGTTCCTCATTTTCAGGCTGCCACCAGAATTTTGAGGTACTTAAAATCGGTTCCAGCCACTGGTATTTTGTTTTCTTTTTCTAGTGACTTAAAGCTTCTTGGCTTTGCTGATTCAGATTGGGCTAGATGCCCTGATACTAGAAAGTCTATTACAGGATATTGTGTAATGTTAGGATCATCCTTATTGTGTTGGAAGTCAAAGAAACAACATACTGCTTCCAGATCTTCCATTGAAGTTGAATATAGGGCATTGGCCTCTATTACTTG